CGGCCCGGGCATCACTTCGGGGGAATGTTTGTGCCGCCCCATAGCTTAATCAGAATGACAAACAGTCGCGGTCTCTTCTGACAAGGCAGAGGCCCGCTGCTTTTGCCATTCATACTCCTGATCAACACGGCCTTAGAGACATTTCCCGTAAGTTATCTGAATCAAATAATCAATGGCAATGTAACCAATAATGCTACAATTCTTTAAATATCCTCCAAGCAGTTAATGTAAACGTGCTGAAATGGATCTTTTGTTAAAAATATCAAATAATGACCAATTTGTCGTAAAACGCCGCTCTCTGCCGGCTGCTCCAGTTTCACTGGCGGTGCCACCCAGTGTGTCCGCTGACCGGGGTCAACGAGAGGTCACGGGAGACCCGTGTGGCCCGCGTCCGTCTGACGCCCGCTCCTCCCACTCATAAACATAAATTCAATTAGCCGTCTGTGGGCGGCCCAGTGAGCGCCGCGGCGCGGCCGCTCGGGTCACGCGCCGACCGAGCCCTGCTGACTGAGGGGGGCCACCCGCGGACCTAATCACCGCGGCCCGGTCACCGGCACAGCCATACGTCTCAATCAGACGAGCGACACGCCGCTCCGCTCTCCGCCAGCGGCCCGGCCAGCGCGGCCCGGTCCTAATTGGATTGGGGCGGTCCCGGTGAGTCCTTAGCATGGAGATGAGCCGACCCGGTGGGCTGGACACCAGGGGGCGGTTTTTACCGGAGTGGCCAGGTCACTAGTTGGCCCTGTGATGGATTACGAGGGAGATCGACTCGTGGTGATGACGCGGTTAAGTAGAGAGTTATTGATGAGCCCAGGCTGTCAGTTATGCTCAGAGGTGGGAGGTCATAGAAATGAGTGTTTCCATGAAACATCGTGCTGGGATTCTGTCCAATGTCCATGTCAGACACCAGAACGACATTATCCAGGTAAGCTCTTGCTTCCGTCCATCCTCCTAAAACAGGCCTTCTTAGTTGGGAATGCTGCACTGCAGGATAACGGTCCAAAAACCTCAGAAGCATTTCCAGTTTAGGAACTGGGGCATTCCACGATAGATCGTACCAGGCCCGTCACCCTCATCTCTCAGATTTTAATGAAAATCGGTCCCAGGGGTAATCATAGGCCCCAAAGACGTCTGGCAAAATATCAGACCTCTCAGATCAAAACTTTTTGAGTTATATTGCATTACATTTTTTTAACTTCGGTATGTAACGGTGAGTTTGATGGCCTATAACTCAAGAACGGGTTAAGCAACCAACAAAAAGTAAACAACACTAAGCTTGCGATGAATCAAAAATTAATATTACTATTTGAAAATTTCAAAGAAAAAATTTCATTGTTGAGCAAAAACCCTAATCTTTTTTCATTTGCCTTTAATGACTTTTGGGACCAAAATTTTTCACATTTTTATTTTTTCAAAATAAACTTCATGTCATTGCAAATCGACATGCAAAAAATTAGAAAGGTGTTCTTTCTATAAGTTCCTCATTTTCCCGCAAACAAAATGGGTTTCGGAGGGGTTGATACGACCCCAGCACGCCGTTTCGCATCTAATAGAGCTAGAGCCTCGCGGAAAAAACGAGCGTGTGTGCCGTTACAAGTCGCAGCGATTGGTACCCGATTTTAAGGTCTCAGGTCAACCGGTAGCGTCTGAGGTCAGGTCACGTGACTGAAGTTACGGGTTCGGTTTTTAGTAAATAACTTCGCAAAAAATGGCCGCAGAGCCGCGATTTTGGCATCATTATGTTCGCCTAGCTCAGGTGCATCGAATGGTATACTTTTTGCTAGGGTGAGGTCAACTTAAGTAGTTGACCTCGGGTCAAGGTCAGGTCAGAGCCCCTCAGGTCACGAAGCTGGGCAAAGGGTATCATATGGCATATCATTCGATTCGGAAGATCTTCCCGAGTCCATTGGTGGCTTTCCCGACTCTCTAGCTCCATTTGATCGGGAGGTATTGACGAAAAACTCGTACGACCCTAGTGACAATGCAAAAGTAAAGCATTGGACTTTGCAAGGAGTGCATGAAATCACGATACCATGTACGTGGGATAGTTTTAGATCATTCTCGGCGCCAAAATAACAGTTTTTATATTTTCCCATTGATTTATAACAGTGGTGTCACGTGACCGACCTGACCTCATGTAACCTTGAAAAATTCCCAGATATACAAGTTGTGAGACCTCTGGAGGACACCATGTATGCGTCCTGTAACTTTCATCTCGGACAGCTATGGTCATTGGCGTCCAAATCTAAGTCAGAACCAAACAGTCTTTTTCACCCTCGCGCTTATAGGAAAGAGGGTTGGATGAACCCTCTTTTCACTTTTTTCAGATGACTCAGACTTAAATTGAAATTTCAGTAACCCGATGTCACTAGGCAGCTTTACCACGCCATTTATAAGCTCCCTCCCGAAATCACTATTCGAAACCGTTATCGTGACGTAAAATAAATACATTTATAGAAAGAACACCTTCCTAATTTTTGGCATACTTCTTAACAATGAGCCACATATTTTTTTAAAGAAATAAAAATTCAAAAAAATTTGTACCCAAAGTCCAAAAAATACAAATGAAAGAAAACTCGATATGTCATATATCAAAAATAGCGTATTTTTCGAAATTTCAAAAATACACATTAATCTCTGTTTCATTGCAAGTTCAATGTTATATAACATTTGGCATTTGAATAATCCGTCTTAGAGTTACAGCCCGCCAAACTTAGCGCTGCAAAGCAAGATCCAAAAAATGTTATACACCATAACTCAAAAAATACTTATCTGGTAAGCCTGAAATTGTTACAGGTGGATTCAGAGCCCCTGATTACCCCTGAGACCAATTCTCGTCAAATTCCGAGAGATAAGGGTGTCAAATTGGAAAAAAGTGGTACGATCTATCGTGGAATGCCCCAACTGTCAAATGGAGCATTACGTCGTCGGAGGGCAGCATTTTGATGGGCATCGGTTTCGCCCCACTATACCTCCCTCTTTTCCGGTTCTGCTTTCCTAACTGATGTAATGTAGCGTAATATACCTAGGTAAAGATGTTCATAAACAGTATGTAGTATTGGGTGAACACTATCAGATCACCATTTTTGAAATGCCAGAAAAGATAATAAGACATAACATTTTCGTATTTTCATTTTGTTTTCCACATGACCGCTCAGAACACTCTGCCCACGCTTTCCATGATTTTGCTTTGTTTTTCTTTCTTATCTTTTATTTCCGTGATGGTCGAATAGCTGCGGCACGAATTCGCTGTTATAACGGTTCCCGAACACTCGCGTGTCTTTGCGGACGCTTTAGTGTAAAAAACTTTGCTTATAACGACTTGGCCAACAACTTGTAAATAGAGCTCACTGCGGCAAGTAATCAAAGAAGACAACAGGGCTAATACCTTGTGCAGGCGAATGCCTGTTTGCACCAGTGGTAACGCGATACAATCAGCGTCCGAAAACACCAAATTGCGCACTGCGAGCTCGTAAATTCTCCTAACGCCTCGCCAAACGGCGATTTATGCTCCGACTCCATAAGCACCAGGGCTGGCACCGCCACATCGCTCGCCCATTATTCGCACCTGTGATATGATGGGGAAGCGGGCGACAGACAGTGCCTCCACGCCCGGCCGCCGCGCCGCCGCCGCACCTGCGCCACGCATCGCCCATTTATGGCCCGTCATGAACCCGAAAAATTTCCTGTAGCACACCCATACCAGCAAATGCCGCTGGTGGTAACCAAGCGGGGAGTCACCACCTCTGCAATGGCGATGGTTTCAGGCCCCTATACGAGATCTAATTCTAGCCCTCTACGCAGTGGAGCGCCTATTCACCAGCCGCCATGACCTCAGGTACCGCTGTTCACTTCCGGTGGATTAATGACGTCATGAAACTGATGACAAAATTGGCCAGAGCGCGTCCCGGCCAGCCTCCATATTCCATTATCCTTGGTGTGATAGCATGCTGGATATTTAGATGAGTTCATCGGTCACTGGGTACGTGCATATCTAAAAACTAAACTAAAGCTAAAATAAACGCACACGGAGCGGTTTCCAGGAAGGGTGGCGAGCGGTGCCGGTTACCTGTCGGTGTCGGGGTATCGCCGTTCTCACGTTCCCTGTCACTAAGTCAGGTTCGGAATGGTGTTGAATGGTCACCCTTTGAGAAGCGTCGAGTGGTAGTGGTCTCTAATTCACCAGTTTCGCGCCAAGCCCGCAGCCGAATGGTGGCCTGGAATTTGGAATGGTGCGCTTCACCATCTTCTTTACACAAAATACATTTATTTCAGAGACACGATATAGTCTATAAGTATAGTCCAGTGTCCCAAACGGCTGTAGCGATGCGCAAAATGCACAGCTGCATATTGCATGAGCTAAACTGTTAATGGAACTATTCACTATACACTTGAATGCAGTGGCGGCGGAAGCTATTTTCGGATGGGGGTGCAAACTTTTCAGCGAGGGCCCCTTAAACTGAGTGGCCCCCCCCCCCCAAAAAAAAAATAAGTTTGAGCTTGACACGGTAACTTACTGACTTTCCACTTTAAACAGAACTTAAAACACCGCACGCTGGCGCAAATCGATTTATAATTAACCGTCTTCGCAAGGGAAGGGGAGATGAGAACAACTTCATCAGGTGCCCGCCTTCCAGCAATACAATGTAAAGTATGACGATGTATATTTGCAATAAGGTAAAGCTTTTAGCGGAACAAGTAGATCCACTAAGTATTCTAAGAAGACCGTTGATGTCTCGGCAGGATGCTGCATTGAAGGCTGCAGCTTAGCGACAATATCTCCTGGAAAAGAGCAAGGCAGTTGAAAACGCAGCGTTCAAAGTCCTAAAGTAAAAAAGGTGTTCACCAGGTACTTCTTTGAGGGGCAAAGTACCTTTTACCACCGAACATTGCTGAAAACAATTGATGTACCCTAATATCCCCCCCCAAAAAGGTACTAATACTGTGGCACCTTTGCTCCACACTTTACCTGTGCAAATAATTGATAGAGCTTACGTTCTCCTCCTGGACGGAACGGCCATGAGATCCCCTCGGCTGACATCTATGCCGGTAGCGCCTCGTAAGACGCGTGGAGTCGGTGAACGCGACCGCCGGCGCCGACCACCATCGCCTCCAATCCCTCGAGGGGGGCGAAAATGTCAGACGCTCGCACACGCTGAGTTCTGCCACACAGCGTCTCCTGAAATTAGATGCGGACAGAGGGAATGCCAGACTCAGTTTCGTTAAATCGTTGATTTGCATGACCAAGACCTTTAGAAATGTGCACTTGCATGGCCAAAAAGAATGTGCACATCTCCATAGAGCGATATGACCAGAGCGCTGTTCAGTGTCTGTTTTTATCGGCCGGTTTTGCAATACATGGAGGTAGCTTGCTAGCGGTCTCTACTTCTCGCTGGCCGAGCGCACTTCCATTCCACGTGAAATGCACAAAAAAAAGAGGCCGAGAGACGCCAGCAATGAGCAAGCTGGCACCATGTTAATAAAAAAGGACATCAAACAGCGCTCATGACAACTGTGTAGACACTGCAATACACTTTTGGCTTTAAAAAAAAGTAGTTTATCATCGTCATCATATCAAAATCAATTTTCAAACACAAAAGGAACTCTCCGGAACTGCGTGACGTGTTAACGTGTATCCCTTGTTAGAGTGACTGTTAAGGCTGCCAACAGTTTATCGACCCATCATTGAATAAGAGCATTTCTTACCTCACTTGCGACCGAAGACAGGTATCCTCTTTGCCGGATGGGCTTCGACGAACTCTTGCATGACCACACGTAGATCCAAGTCAAGGGCACGCCTCTCGTGTACGTTCAGGAGCATTAGGTGCGACAAGCGTGCTTGCGACATGGTACTGCGAGCATAGGTTTTTACCTGTCGCAATGTCGAAAAAACGCGTTCACCAGTCGCCACCGAGACGGGCACTGTCAGGATCAGTCGGCAGAGTTTCACAACCTCACTCAGAAGCTCACCCCTGACCTTGCCACCCTCACCACCAAAAAGGCTCGTGGCCAGCTCCTTTACAGTGCTGGCTTTCTGGCGACTGAGAGCAGGTGGGATGACTTGTAGCTGGGAACACAACTTCTCTGCATCAATGTCTGGTTGCTTTGCCTCTTGACTGCCGATCCCCTCAGGACCTGATGGTGACGCAACCGCGAGGCGGCGTGCTATTTCACTCGCATTGGGTACTTTGTCTCCAGCGAGCAGGAGTTCCTCCATGGCCTTCAGGCGTTGAACCCCCGGTTGCACAAATCTTCTCTTCACTTCTTGGTGAACAATGTCCAGAGCCTCAAAATATTGCTTCCGAAGAAGACCTTTAGCGGTGAACGTGGTGGGAGGCGTCGGGTTTGCCACCTGCTCGAGTTTCTTTGGCGGCCGTTTCTGCCTTGGCTCTCTTGGGTCCTGGATCTCTGATTCAAGAGATTTCACCTTTTCCTCGACGTTCGCATACAGCGTGTTGAAGCTGTCATCGCTGCGTTGCGTTTCAAGCATGTCAGTCAAGGCCTCCGCTCCCTTAACTGCTTCACCAAATGTCAGAGATGGGCTCTGAAGTTTCCGAGCAAGAGCCTCGCATGGCTCGAACACCTGTAGCGTCACAAACATGCCAAAGATGGTTTCCCACTTGCTCATCTGTGTTTTGATTCCGCGCAGCTTGCTGCGAACGTCAGGGGACACTCCACTATCCACCACCAGATCATCAACCGTTGCTACCACCGCATCGTAGTTGTCTACAAAACGACGGAAAGCCTGACAGCGGACAGTCCACCTCGTCGGACATAGGGCGAGTAGCGTCGTGGGGTGTCGCTCATTTGACGGGTCACCTCCTCCGATAACGTGGTCTCGGAACATGTTTTTTCGCTTGGCTGTATTGAGACATGTTGACACATCCCGCACGATGTTCATGACATCGGCGATCATTGGCACCTGTTTTGCTTCCTCCACCAGGGCCAGATCGAGAGAGTGATTAAAACAATGCACGAAGATAGCCTTCGGCTGCATTGAGGCTAGTCGTGCTTGAACACCAGATATTTGACCAGACATATTGCTAGCTCCATCGAAGCACATTCCGCGCAGATGGCTTATACCACCGACAAGACGTTGCGTGGCATCCAGCAGCACTTTGGTGAGGGTCGCGGCCGTGGAGTCTGGCGCAGCATAGAGGCCTAAGAACACTTCCTGTGCCTCCAATTTATCATTGACGAACCTGTAACACACGCAGATCTGTTCCTTGCCCGCGACATCTGTCGTTCCATCTGCTATAATGGAAAACCACCCGCTGTCTTTCATCTCCTCAACGAGCTGCCGCTGAATCATTTTGGCCATGATTTCAAATATTTCGTCCTGACAATCATGAGTAAGAAAGTTTGTTTTTCTCTCCATCCACTGTTTCACTTCAGGCGACAGGGCTGCTTTCTCCTCCAGAAGCTTGGTAAGATTACCATCAAGCTCAGAATGACCCCTAACAGCTACCCCAGACCGGGCCAGTCCCCTGAGTACGCTGATAATCTGAAGATAGGTTTCGGTGTTGCGTTTTCGCTCCGATTGAGTAGCATCATTCACCATCGCTGTGATGGGCTGTGTAGTCGACAAGACAAGCTTTTCAGTGGACCTCTGATGTGCGGTTGACTTTTCATGCTCTCTGAACTTGGTTGTTGCTTTTCCCCAGTGAGAGAAGCCCTCCAGAAAAGCGGTTTCTCGGAAAGAAGTTTTTTTCATCAGCCCTTTTCTCACTGCTGTCAAACAGGTGTGACACTTAACAACATCCTTCCCAATGTCGTAAGAGAGAAACTTGAATGATTTGAACCATTCATACCGAAAACGTCGACCCGACGTAATAGGGAACTCCATACTTGGCTGACATGGACGGTCTTCGTCTGAAGAAACTGTTTCGCCTGTTCCGTGAGGTTCCAAAACACTCTCATGTCTCTCCGTGTCCTTCGAGTGGCTAGCATCTACTGGCTCCAACTGTTCGTCTGAAGAAGCAACTGTTTCGCATGTTCCGCGAGGTTCCGAAACACCCTCATGGCTTTCCGCGTCCTTCGAGCGGCTAGCTTCTACTGGTTCCAACTGTTCGTCCGAAGAAGCAAGTGTTTCGCTTGTTCCGTGAGGTTCCGAAACACCCTCACGGCTTTCCGTGTCCTTCGAGCGGCTAGCTTCTACTGGCTCCAACTGTTCGTCTTGAACTGTTTCAGCTATTGGACTTTGGACGCCATCAGCATCGCCTTCCTCTTTTTCATGGTCTTTGTTGGCAGGTACTGTCTCTCGTATCTCCGAGGCGTCATGGTCGCTTCCTGAAGCCCTCTGCGCTCCAGGTGCAGCATCACCACCTAAGAAATGAAATGAAATAAAAATTAAATGAAGTATGCCCAACTTGCCCCCTATCTCACCCCTCGACTTACACCCAAAACTTGAGGTAGATGTAGGAAATTATTTAAGCCTCGCATGTGACCATTCAAAATTTAATTCAAATTTGTTTTAGGCATGCTAATAATCGATGGTTGGTTCTTTACCAACACACTGAGTATGTTCAAATACAAACAAATACTTCAATACCCAGAAGTCATTAACCCCATTTATCTGAAATAACTGGACAATCTACAACTGGGTATAGGCTGGAAGAGGGTTAGTAGAGGTTTAACACTAATAGCAGTATCTGGAGGTTAGAGATAGACAGTAACACATTTCAACACTACTGGTCATTTTGGCCAATGAGACCACCTAGGAGAGAACGACCCTAGTATATGACAATTGTAAATAAACATGCAATACTAGGTAGCATTACATCTAAACAAGTATAGCATTAGTTAGCAGCCAGTAGCTATTAAGAATTAACCCTAAAACGCAGAAGTCAAAAGTTGACATTTTTATGAAAAAAAAAGAAAAATCCTAGCAGCATTCTAGTTATGCAGCACATTCAATTTAGCTTAATAAAATGCATGCAAGCATCAAGTGTTACCATCACCTCTGCCACCATTGCCAGTGTTAATATCAGGTGCAGAGCCTGATGCTTCAGGACGCCCCCTGTTGGTGTGGGATGCATATTTTGTTATAGTGCACCCATCATAATGCATATTACCCATCAAAAGCAATGCTGTCACATTCAATGCAGCTCAAGCAGCCAGCGATTTTTGATGGTTAATGTTTTCAAGGTTAATGTGTACATTGCACACTTCAAAGTGTAGGTATGTTTTCATGCATTCAAGGGAATGGGCTGATTTTCACAGCCAAACAGGATCCTGTTAGACAGAGCATTTGTGGTAAAGTTAGACCAGGCCCATCCAGGCCCAATCACATTCCACAAGAGCAGCCATTGTGGATTCACACTCAACACACAAGACATAGATATTCCTACCTCAGCCAGCACCAGGCATACTTTCATTTGAAATAAAGAGAGCCTCAAACCATGCATGTTGGCTGGTTGAAAAATGGTCTTCTTTCAAATATTGGGATAAATAAACAGACAATCATGCACTTATTTTTGGTAGCCAGGAACTACCAGTGGAAAATATGTAAACAACCAACACATTTAACTTCAGGGAAAGCATGAAAACAACAAACACACCATAAAACATGCTGCAATATGGATGATCGGATTACAACAAATTTTAGCTCTTTAGTATGGTACTTGCAGACTGGAGCATGGACAAGGAGCAAAAATATTTAGGAATAACACTTACTTGTTCAACCATTCAGAGATTGTCTTCATCTTTTTTAGTTCATGTTCTTGTTTTTGTTTTGCTTCCAGCCTCTTTTTCCTCTTCTGGGCCCCAGACAGGGCAGATGCTTTAAATGGTTTCATGATAAGCTATGATATCCCACGTTGTCTCCTTGTTTCCACCTGCATTGGACATGTAGTATCTATTTTAAAATATATTGTAGTGTACCTATAAAGATTGTAAATAGGTGGCTAGATATACCATGATCATTGATAATTGATCATTTTATTGTCGTACTTGGCCAACAACTAGATAGGTAGGTACCTATGTGTCTAAGTAAAATTACTATCATGCATTCTGACAATAATCATAGGGAAATTCCTGACACAAAGTTCGTTTCAAGTGGAATTGTACATGAATGACCTCATAATCAGTGTGCTGGGAAATTAATTCCCCATAACAATTTTTGGCTTTAGTAGAGCAGACGCCACACGAAGGTTTTTGAGGCGCTGTAGGTGTGTAGGTTTGTAGAGTAGGACAGGTTGTAGGTTGTAGGTAAACTGAGGTCAGGTTAGGTTAGGTTTGGCCTCGGATCTTGGCTGGAAATCCTTCATATGAAGTCTGCTCTACTAAAACCCAATTTTTTTCTTCAAAATTCAAATATTTTATTTTTTAGGCACAGCACAAGCCACAACATGCATAAAAGCCAGCATATCACTTTGGCCATTCCACATTATAGTCCTACTGAATGACAGGACAACTTCTGTCCTGGTAATATTCACCTAACAGTAAACTATTCATGAAACAACAAAAAAGTAATAGTTGCAATTTGCATTACAGTCTGCATTGCATGAGCACCATCATTGACAACGTGGTAACATTGGAAAACAATTGAACTAAATTTGCGAAACATCAAACACCGAAAATGGAAAAACTATTTTACCTTTTCACACGGCTAATTCGGTTTCATCAATCAATCGCCTGAGCCTTTCGTATTTTTCTAAGTATACATCAAAAGGTATAAAATTCTCAGCATCGACACTCGCCTCAACCAAGCCTCAACATATGGCCTCAACTACGCACAATTTGCCGCGCGACAAAGCACACACGAGACTGGCAAGGTTTGTGATATATGTCCTTGCATCCTCATCTCTGACTAATGAGACTGATGACGTCATAGTAATGCAGCGACCTGATTGGCTTCCGTCTTAGAAGAATTCGGTCTTTTACGCTAGAAATAGATGTTTTAATCTGATCTTTAATGATATATGCTAATGTTATATGTAGAATGTTTACAAATAATAAAACAGATATTTTGAAGCAGTCTTGTCCATTTCTCAATCGCTAGCAGTTGCTAGTTCTAGTTGCTCATTAAGTTAGCACATATATTATTATCCAAATTGAAAAGCGTGGGCCGTGGGGCCCTATGGAGCCTGTGTTTGGCCATAGAGGACATCACGGGGCCCTCAGAGTTCCCCTTGAACCCGCGTGTGCCCCCAGGAAACCGCATGTATGATGTACCCCAAGGAACCAACGTGGGGCCCCAAGAAGCCTGTGTCGGGACTTCAGAGGCCATCGTAGGATGTCTTAGAGTTCCCCATGAACCTGCGTGAGCCAGCTTAGCCCCTTAGGAAACCGCTTGGGCTTTCAGGAACCAGCGTGGGGCCCAAAGAAGATTGTGTTGGGTGCTCAGAGGCCATTATGGGACATTAGAAGTTCTCATGAACCTGCGCAGGCGCCTTAGGAAACCGCGTGGGGCGCCAGAAATCAGCATGGGTCACAGCGACCCCGTGTCGGGCCCTGGACGGGCTAAACTGGGCTCTAGATGTCCCAATAAGCCTGCGTGGGGCCCCAGGAGGACTTGTTGGGCCCTCAGTAGTCAGAAGGCACCATGTGGCCCTCAGAGGCAATCATGCGGGCCCTTAGAGATCTCCATGGACCTGCATGGGGCCCCAGGAACCTTTGTTGGGCCCTCAGAAACCACCATGGGGCCCTTAGAGATCACATGGACCTGTGCTGGGCCCTAGGAACGTACTTGGGCCCCTTAAAACAGCGTGGGGCAGCAGAAACCGCATTGGGCCCCACCCAGGAGCTAGCGTGGGCCTCCAGGAGCCTGCTTGGAACCTAAGAGGTCATTATGGGGAGCCCTAGATCCTTCTTTAGACCCCCAGGAGCCTGTGAGGGGCCCTCTGGAGCCTGTCTTGGACCCTAAGATGCCAGCATGGGCCCTTAGGGGTACCCACGGGGCCCTCAGAGGTCCTCCTGAACCTGCGGGGGTCCCCTGGAGTCTGTATTGGTCCATCAGAGGTCACCATCGGGCCCTCAGGTTCCCATGAACCTGTATGGGCCCCCATAAACCTGAGTGGACCCCAAAAAAGCACGGGGCCCTTGGGGACCAGCGTTGGACCCCAAGGAACCTGTGTTGGGCCCTCACAAGTCACATGTTTCCCTGAAACTGCGCGGGGCCCTCTGGAGCCTGTGCTTGGGCCGTCACGGGGCCCTCAGAGGCCGTCATGAGGCCCTCAGAAGTCCCAGTGAGCCTGTGTAGGGGCCCTGAGAGACCAGTATGGGCCTCAAGGAATCGGTATGAGGAAATTTGGGTTGTGTTCTACTGGCTTTGGGGGCCCAATCACCGGTTTTCGTGAAAAATTCATTGAATGGTTGTGGGCCCCTTGAACGGATTTTGGGGGTGCAAAAAGATATCTTTGCACCCCCATGGTTGTGGATGGGGGTGCAGCTGCACCCCCTGCACCCCCTATTCCGCCGCCACTGCTTGAATGTGAAGTATGTATTCGAAACGTTGAAAGTAATGTAAAATAATACAACTGACCTGTCCTTGCTTATATAATTCAAAACCTCTGCAGCAAAGCACACACTTTAAACGATTGCAGTCTGCGAGCATTCGGCTCAATTCCTTGTCTATTTAAGATGATTAATCGACGGTAATACAACCAATTTTGCAAGAAATCTAGTAAAAGCGCTATAATTATAAACTTTATATGGAGAAAATGCTACTGGCGTGGGTTCAGCTCATGCATATCTGTTTGTATGCAGGGGCCTTTTAGGTGAAATGTTGGAGGGTAATTGCATACAGGTGTGGTGTCAATAACTCGCCAAAAGCATGTGACTATCGTTCGTTGTATCTAGCCACTGTGAGTAATATAACCTAGTGATTATTCACGAAAATGCTTTGTATCCAACTATCCTGAAGTGAAAAAACTGAATTTTTTATCACCTTTTGCCATTGCAAATGATCATTCCCTAAGTTCATTTAGGAAGCGCATATAGGTGTGTAGGTTCCTGGGCAGTCGCTCATTTAAAGGCCATTTTTACGGGATGACATTTGGGAGTTTACATTCATTTTTAGCATACGTATACCACATCACGGATCCAGTAGGATGTTGGATGGCAGATCCAGAAAGATCGTGTTGACGCTGCAAGGTGAGGTTTTTATCCCTAAAGCCTTTCCAATTAAAAACAAACTCCCCGGATGTCGCTTTTTATGCCTTTTTTGCAATATCAAAACAATTTTTCTTAAAATTTTCTCTAGTTGCTTTCCATACGAGGAAAACGGAAAACTTAAATCATATCTGGATGCTGCGTCAATTCCAATTATAATAGATGAAGTATAGGAGGCAGTTCGTAAGTGATTTGTCGTC